TGACGACGACAGATACAGGAGGCACAGTCATTTGCGGTGTCAAATTCCTATGGCAACAGAATGAGCACGGAGAGTCTTGCCGAAAATCTGCAAGGCGACCTTGTGTTAAAAAGCAATCACTAAGGAGAATACCCTAGCCCACATGAACCACTCCGGCTGACAGATGCCAATCGAATGAATGATTCACAAAGGTGACGGAAATCATACCGGCCGCACCCCTGCGATAGCACCAAACTAAGCGGTCAGACATTTCCGCCAGGTTGGCCAAATTCGTCCCTAGTCGGTGGCCATCCGGCTCCGATCATCGACAACACCTTCCGAAAGAAGAGCGAAAAAGGCATTCTCGTATAACTCGAGACGAGGAATCACTCGGTAACAGCCTAAAACCTCAAGACAGACCAGGGCCATTCTCGCGAACCCCTTTCCTCGGTCCTCGGATCGCTGGTTCGATGCGCAAATCTGGCCCATCTCCCGCTCCTGCCAACCAATCTTTTGATACTCTGAACTCCGCGCGACCCGACATTACATAAGATGACAGCCTTAATGCGGCTCCCTGACGCCGATGATGAAACCGTCACTTTGGAGGGGTGTTCCCCAGATTCGGAGGCGCAACCCTGTAACCGACCGACCTTGAGACGTTTCAGCGAATCGTCGTGGTGGGGGCGCCACCCAACTTGGGCGCAATGAGCTTAAAAAGATACGCTCGAGCACCCCTGTCTGCCGGTTAAGCGACGAAGAAAAAGCTGACACAGGTCACAGAAGTTCGGCCATCTCCTGGACTCCTGTTTGGACTAGGGCCGCCTGCACCTCACCTGGCTCAACGAACATTAGCAGTCGCCGCTTAAGGTCGCAAGTTTGTGTGGGGAGTTTGGGAAGATGAGCGGCGCCTCATGTCGCATCAAGCTTAATCTTCACTCTTTTGCGAGAGCGACCCATCCCTCCCATCTTTGACGGGATGGCTTTAAAGAGCGCCTCGACGCCTCCCTCAACCCGAGACATTCGTTTTGAGACTCATCCCATTCGCTCACTCTACTTCCAACTTTGACAACCTTCTCTTCGTTTTGGCTGGTCCGTCTTTCTTGTTTCAACTTTAAACTACTATATTCGATTCTTCGATTTTCCATCTTCAGCCGCAAACATGAAGTTCTCCGCCGTTCTGTCTCTCGCCCTCGCCACCGCCGTCGCGGCCATGCCCACCGAGGACCTGTCCAAGCGCCAGACTGTCCAGAAGGGCAGGCAGACCCTCGTCTTCAAGGAGCAGGGTGGCGTGCCCGGAAACGAGTGCCTCACCTTCCGCAACAACGGTTAGTTAACCAAGACTCAATTGAACTCTTGGCAAGACGTCTGTCCCTAACACATCACTTAGGCGAGATCGTCAACGCTGCCTGCGTCAACACTGCCGCCGACAGACAGATCACCCCCTCCACCAGGAACGGCAACAACGTCCTTCTTGTTCAGCGCTCTTTCACCGCCGGCTTCCGCCCTGATCTCGTTAACAAGGAGGTCTGCGTCGGCTTCAACGGCACTGCGATCCGCGCTGAGGACTGCGCTGCTCGCGGCATTGAGTTTGTCTCTCAGTCGGGTAACACTCTCGTTGCCTCTGGAGGTGCTTGCTTGAACGGCCACGACAACGCGGCTCAGGTCACTGTCTCCGCCCAGGGCCAGGGCTGCGCTTCTTTCACCACCACCTCTGTCAAGGCCACTGCCCCGTAAAGGGATGTATGACCGGCGGATGTCAAATATCGTGATGGAAGAGGGAGTGGGGAGTGGAGTATAATGCTGGAGATGAGACTTCGACTTAATTATTATCAATGGAAAAGAGTTGCAGCGACTTCTTGTGCCTACGCTTATCTTGCTTCTGGATGGTTCACGCTCATACTGCTGATGATTACCCACTTTCTACACGTGATTGCTCTGCCAGCCTGATGTGGTTTGTTGGACATGCCCGACTTACCTTATCCAATAGGCAACTTGCCCGCTCCAAACCCACCGACTGAGTAGTCAAAATTGTCCTGACACCCTCCAACATCCAGCTGAAGAGGACCGGCCTTTTCAACCTCACAAGATCCACGGAGCGTCTCATTCGAGATCGTTTGATTCTGCCATGTCTCGGTGGCATGATGCAGGCTGCCTAAGCCCCCAGGTTGATGTCAAGAATGGGTTGCGAGAGTGTCGCAACTGCAACCAATCAGCCGATCTATCCAGCCTCATGCCCGCGAATACATCATCCGCGCCTTTGATCCCCGTCGATGAACCTTTAGGCTCCATGAATCTATGGTGGCCAAGCTCTGTGCCTTATATAAACCAGGCGGAGAGTGAACACAGCCTGACGGACAGTAGTCCCGGAGCGGTTATTTCCGTCGGCGGAGCGGATTCAGACGGGAAAGCAACAGCCACGCTTGCTATGTCAGCACCATCGACCATCTATCCCCAATCTCTCAGGCCCACAGAGATTCGACTGGCCGTTCTGTCCGCAGCTAAAAGTCATGATTTTCCGGTCCACCTGGAACTGGAAGTCTACGAACTAGACGACTGCCCCGAATACGAAGCTGTTTCTTATCTGTGGGGCGGCGAAAATGACGATAGCACGCTGTGCTGTCCGATATACATCGGTCCTTTCTGGGACGTTCTCTTTCAAACCAGAAACTGCTATGACATGCTGCAATTCATGCGGCCCTGGCGAGGAGTTCGCACAATATGGGTTGATGCTGTCTGTATAAACAAGAACGACACACCAGAACAAGGCAAGCAAGTCGCCAACATGACTCTGATCTACTCTGGATCGACTCGCGTCGTTGCGTACCTCGGTTCAGATTTGGCCATACCTCTAGCTAAGCGGCATCCACGTCGGCATTCGCTACTCGATCTTGCGAGCGGAAATGTGGTGCCAGAATTTCCCGGGTACCCTCAATCAAGAACCCAAGTCACCATGACAAATCTACTCGAAAGACGGTACTTCTCGCGGGTTTGGATTGTCCAAGAGCTTCTTCTATCCAACACTGTTTCAATGAGGGTAGGCGACGTTGACTTCTGGGCTAATGCCCTGATCTTGACCCATATATCTGATACGGGCTTGAGATGGGAAGTCACTGCTGCATCTTGGGTTGAGTATCTGTCTCAAGGCACCCAATCTGGGCGTGGCATTCGGGACCTTTTGTCTATGACCTCAAGGACTGGAACAACAGATCCCCGGGATCGTATCTTTGGCTTGATGGGTATCGCACCGATGTCAATACCAGAAGACAATCAGAATTTCGGTCCAGGAGCGGATTATTCATTATCATGCCAACATATCTTCATCGGTACGTTTGCGTACTGTCTTATAGCTCAAAGAGATGCTGCTGTTCTTCATGCGGCTTGCGGAATGCAAGCTCGGAAGGGCTATCCAACTTGGGCACCCGACTGGAAATCTCACGAGTCATGGAAGAACTTCTTTTTCATGCCAAAAGTAGCTGATCTGCGTACCTGGACATGGACTGTCATGAGCCGGGAACTTCGGCAAACCTCAATCTCAACGGAGGTCAAAAGCGTCGAAAGCATCCGCATGTTTTATCTTCTCACAGGCGAGCTAGACGTGACCAACAAGACCCCAGATATGACGGCACATGTCTCTAGTGCAACGGGAGCGTTGCACATCAATCTCACTCAATACATATCCATCAAAACGAAGCCGACTCGAATTTCAACGCAAGGCTCTTACCACATTTTTCAGATTCAACATAACAGCGAGTATATTGTTCACGTAGTGTCCCGATATTTGCTGGACGAGCAGAACTTCCTCGGGAATGAACAGATTTTTGTCAGCTTTCACTCTTCTTTCACTATTTATCTCATTCTACGTCCTGTTGACGGAAAGAAAAATTCTTTCAGCCTCATTGCTACTTCTCCATTCGTGGCGATCGGTCCAACACGACCATTTAACTTTCTTAATGGCCCTTGTTTTTTTGAGCAATTGCAGTCAAGTTTAACAACGAGGCTACAGACCATATCGAATCTACGCAATGAGGATCTCCAACCGCCTTCCGATGACAGCGAATATGCATGGCGAGCCTTCTTCCCGCATACTAGAAGAGTGAGCGACATGATGGAGTTGGTGCTCTGTATATACATCAAGACTGAGATACATCGCTCTGTTGTTACCCCGTCGGATCTCGAGGAGGCGTATCTGGAATGTGTTCAAAAGACCGGCCAAGTGCGCATTGAAGAAACCCATATGGAACCAGGTCAGTGGCTAGAATTTCCTTTCCCCTTCATACAATCTCTATGTAATAAACTAGGCTTTGTTTACTATTTGTCGCATAACCACAGCAGAGTCTGTGCACCTCCAGGATCGAAGTACCACACTAACAAACATTCAGACACAGGCGCTCTGTCGTATATTGTCCTCACTATCAGTCGAGAAGATTGGGAGGAAAATGGAATGTCCCAGCTGTACAAAAGTGGAAGCTGGGAGTTTCGAAGAGGAGACATGAAATGGACACTCGTTTCATCAAGGAATCTATGTACGACATATGACCTGATAGGTGATTGGGTTGAAGTTCGGTGTAAATCTTCTCTTTTGGTCGATTCCTTTAAACCGTTGTACAATGCCGGCCCACAGCTCCATGACCTCTGGCTTCACATAAAATCTTTACTTGAATTGTCATGTGGAAAGGAAAAGACGTTAAGAGACTTGCTAGCGAGGGAGCCCATAGAATTGGATGACTATATTGGCTGTCCAAAAGTTTATCAATCTCCTTCTCTCCTTGAGAAGTCAGTAGTGCGAAAAGCATTAGGTATTTCCGGAAGGACTTCCTTGATTGAGATAGTATAAAGAATGGGGCACCTATTGAATCAAGATAAATGGACGTAAGGAGTTGTAAGATTCCACTTCCTTAAGATGTCTTTCTAGTTCAACACGACATATATTTATGATTATATACGAACTTTACTGTGTATGATGTTCCTAGCTTACGGCTAGTTTCTTCTGGTTTGGTCCAGCATCTCACTCCTTCCGGACCCTACGCCTCTTCTTGCAAGCCCCCGGCGCAGGTAAGCTCTTTCTCGAAAAGCATCCCTCGCCAACACAGTCTAGATCAAAGAACCGAATCACCTCACCAGGCTGATCCGGGATATTGTGATCAACCCCATGCGCCAAAAACGACTCAAACAGCCCCCTCGTGCCATAGACACTCTTCGTCCAGTTCGCAACAGGATCATTCTCCACGACCTCAGTCGGCGTCTGACTAACACCTAGCACCGTAGTCCACATCTTTATCTCCTCATAAAAGTTCGTCACACTCAGCACATTATCCACATCCCCATGCAGCACCTGCATCTTCGGCCTCGGGCCCTCGTAACCCGGATACGCCGCCCTCACTATCTCCGCCCACTCCTCCCCGGTGTGCGTAATCCGCCCGCTCGCACAATCATCAGACCAGACATCATACCCGTCCGCGGCATAACACCCAAACGGCACCCCCGCAAACGCCGCGCCGGCCGCGAACACATCGGGGTACGCCCCGACCAGCACGTTCGTCATCATGGCCCCGGAGCTCGTGCCCAGCGCGAAGACGCGGTCCGGATCGACGTCGTAATTGTGGAGCGTCCAGCGGACCATGCTCACGATGCCGAGCGAGTCGCCGCCGCCGTCGTGGGAGAGCGTCTGCGGCGAGGAGACGTCCCAGCAGTAGTCGGCGGTCCAGGGGGTGGACGGGTAGATGGTGACGAAGCCGAGGGTGTCGGCGAGGGAGCGCCAGGGCTTGTTGTTGAAGGCGTCTTGGGCGGTGCCGTGACACCAGTGCGGGAAGACGAGGAGGGGCGCGCTGGGGATGAGGGAGTCCGGGACGTAGAGGTAGAAGGAGACGTTGGTGGGGTTGGGGCCGAAGGAGGTTATCTGTTGGAGGGATGCTGCTGTTGCAAGGGGCAGGGCGGCGGCCCAGGTTAAGAGTGAGAGCATCTTGTGGTACTTGAGAGGGGCACTTTGGAGGAGTTCCGGAGCCAAAGTGAGGAGGCCAAGAGAACACTGAGGTAAAGATGCGAAGACGGGGGCTGAAGACGCATTTTTATGTCTGTTGAGAGCTACCCCGGCCGCGCTAAAATACCGACAAGCTTCTCCAAGATCATGATTCCGAGTTCCCCTCACTGATCAGAAGGCCAATTGAGTTGAATTAAGGTTGCATTTTGCGCGGCTGGTTGGCGGGAACGTGGTTGTAGAGGGGATCGCCGGTGGATCTGGACCATGGAGGTTGGTGCCTCCGTGTCCCAAAACAGGAATGTGGAGACTCTTTGGATCCGGTGAGCCGGGATATCGGTGTGGCAGACCGGAAACACGGCGGGCTTGCAGGCGCGCAGAGACCAACATCGGAGATGGGACATCATGGGGAGGTGTTGGTAGAACAGTTTGCTGAGGACTCAATTGGGGTTTCCTCGAGGCAAGGAGGCATCTTCGGTTGCCAAGGGGTGAAGCGCAAACAATCACGCAAACATCACTCGAAACTCATTGTCTACAAACAGTTCACCAGATAACCAATTGATTTACCGAAACTCCTACAACCAGCTTTTTCGCCCTATTGCACAATATTATGTCAATTGTCGACCGAGCCAAGTCTATGTGCCGTTCTACCCCCTTCCTCTATACATCGCGACACCCCTCTCATTTTCTCTTCGCGAAAGAAGAAGCAGTTTTCTGAACCTTAGCCGGCGGCGCGGCCTCCGCATCGCTGTCGTCATCGTCATCGGACTCCTCAACATCGTCGTAGTCAACCTCCTCGTCGTCATCGACCTCCTCCGCATCGCTCATGTCGTCCTCCACCGCGGGCTCCTCGTCATCGTCATCGTCATCCGAGTCGCCAATGAAGCCGTTCGTCGTGGGGACCTCGTCGTCGTCCTCGTCTCCCAGCAGCGCCATCTCCGTGCCGTTGGTCTCGGCGCCCGTGGTCTCGCCCTCGATGTAGATAGCAGCCTCCTTCTCCTTCAGGTCCTCCTCATCCTCATCGTCATCCTCATCGTCGTCGTCGTCGTGACGTGCGTGGCGGCTCCTGCGCGTCCGCTCCTTGCGGATGCTCATCTGCGCCTCCAGCATGTCAAGCTTGCCCTTCAGCGCCAGCAAACTAGGCAGGCCGCGCGAGCGCTCGTTGAGGACCTTTTGCAGCGCGAGTAAACGCTCGAGAACCTTGGGCTGCACGGCCAGGGCGCCGCCGTGCGAGACGAGAGTCCACTTCACCCAGACCATGAGGCTGCCCGCGCGGCCGGGCCGCCTGTGGAAGCGCGCGGCGAGCTTGGTGAGGAGGACGCCGGCGAGGCTGCTGTCGAGGCGCTCGATCGTCTGCTGGATGGTCGCAACCTGGTTGACTTGCAGGCACGACTCGAGCAGGTCGTTGTCTTCGGTCTTGAGGGCTTGGGTGAGGACGGTGCTCAGGGATGATAGGGACGGCGCGGCGAGGTTCTTTCTTGAGGAGCTGGGGACGACTTCCTTGGAAGCTTCTTGTTGGGCGAGGATGGCGGGGACGTCGATCGTGCCGCGCAGGAGCTCGCCGAAGCTGGGCGATCCGGCCTCGTCGTCCGACTCTGCGGCGGCGGCGTCCGTCTTTTGTGCTTGGTTCTCGGCGGTCTCTTCCTCAGTTCCGTTCACGGGTTCCTTCACTTCGGCCTCGGCGTCGGGCGACTCCATCTCCTCGTCGGAGGCATCCTCCTCGCTGTCCTCGTTGGACGAGATCTCGATTGGTTCGGCGTCGCCCTTGACGGCGGCTTGTAGCGAGTCTGTCGCGGAAACGGCAGCTCTGCTCTCGTCGATTGTCGTCTTGGGAGCTCGGATCGAGGGCTTGACGACTGGCGGCGCGAACTTGCCGGACGACCTTCTCTTCGCAGACATTATGGCGATTGTTCGGTCGGAAGGGGGAGGGAGTATCTTGGGATTGGTGGAAGAAGGTAGGAAAATTGTTGATTTTTGGGGGGACCCTCACGCCTCCAGCAACGACAGCGACGAACCTGAACTTTTTTTCTGCCGGTCGCCAATTTTTTTTTCCTCTGGCGCGGATGACCGCCCGCGGGGATGCTGACGTAAGGGACTTGGACGATGGTACCTGCCGACCTAAGACTGCAAGCTTAGGTAAGGCAGCCTCAACCTGGTTCCGTCGGAGAAGGAGAAGGGTTTGACCGATTCTCAGGGTCCAGGCAGGTGCACGGACAGAAGAGTCATCACGTGGCGGAACCGGACCTCTGCACATGTCACCCTCCCTCCTTGCGTTCGTCAACTCGCTCTCACCTGCGACCTTCATGACTTTCCATCAAGCTCCATAATGCCACGCGCTCATTCTGCCCCGTTCATCCAAAACAAATCCCCTCATGCTATCCATAATGGTGTACTGCTCCATGGCGGCCATCCCCTACTCATGACTTTTCCATCAAATGGTTGACCCGTTTGCTCTCCATGGCAATAGTGCAAACCTGTTGAGCCTCAAACGCGGGTTGAAATGAGACGCGGTGGCTGTGCGTAGAGCCTAAAAATCTGCTGGAAGCCATTCGCGAAAACGCGGCAGTCTTCAAGCCTCAGGCCGGGCAGAGCACGCCGGTCCTCGAGAAAGGACCTCAACCAAACGCAGGTCTGATTGGTTCAAAGGGCACGACTACCCACAATCAGAACTACGGAAGCTTCTCATTGGACGACGCGCTGCTCAGGCAGGCGTGTAGCCGTCCCTAGGTGCTATGCCGTATTTGTCTCATCAAGCCCCGCTTTAGCGTCATCCGACACGGTGATTGGGTCAAAACGGTGCTTTCATCCCTGTCCATGACCCTTGCCAGGGTAGACCGTCAAGCTCCCGCAGGGGTCAGCGCGACTTGGCGGGTTCCTACAAATAAGAAGTGGCCCCGATTCCTAAAATTCGCGCCTTTTGATGCGAAAAAGTCCTGGAAAAATTCCACGAAGTTCGCAGTCATCTGATCTGTCACGAGACCGCCGAACGCCAGCCACTCACAGTCCTCGACTGCGCTCCGTTCCACTCGCTGCCAACCAGCTGCTTCCTCATCCTTCCGGTACGTACCGATTTTTGTTTCTGTCGCATCCGTTGCGTTGCGCAATGCGGCAGCAGGCGTGTCGCGTCACTCTTTCCTCGCGTTTGCATCTGCCGCTGCATCGCTGCCATTCTCCTTCTTCTCTTTCCTTGCGACGGACAGTGTTGGTGTTGGCTTTACCGCCAATCTTAGCCTGTACCTTACACAGAACATTCTATCATTATGTACACTCAGAAAATGACAAACATGCCATGGACTTATCGTCTCCTGTTTTCTCTGGCCGCTGATTGATGTCGCTTCCTGGCTGGAATCTGGCGCGTTGGCATTCGCTGCGCTGGCTGGTCCACTTCATGTTCACCTCTCACCGCACCGCACCGCAGCACCAGCCTCACCGCACTTACACCTTCATCATCAGCCACATCTCGCAGCTGGCCTGTTTACTGACTGTATCTTTTGCTGTGCATCTAGATACTCTTTTCCAAGACTTCAACGAAGGATCAGCTCCATCGCTCTCAAACCAGCCCGATTCACTTCGAGGTGAGTGCGGTTTTCCTCTCTTTCCTTCTTTTTCCCTCACTCCGTTTCGGCTTCCCGCTTCGCATCACACATTCATACCCATCCCGTTCCACGCCCCCATCCCCGTCACATTTCCCAGCCTCGCGCCTTTAGTCCTGATCCGGGCTGCAGGATGCCTCCTCATTGGCTAGTGCCTCCACTCTGTGCATAAATATGCATTTTTATGTCACCCTCCCGGGCCCCCTCCCCCCGGTCACCCGCGTCCCCTTCAACTTGCTCTTCCAACCATTTTCTCGCAAAATTGCGATTTCTTCCCTCTTTTTTTTTCTTCCCTCGGACCTCCTGCTCTCTTCCTCCTCCCCCCTAGTCGTCGATCACCCAGGCGCACTGACCACCTCTCCTCTCTGACCCCCTTCCCGCCTCCTGCTTCTCATTGCACAGGTCCTTCCTGCCCAACGCTACGCCACTGTTTTTTCATTTCTGCCACTGTTTTCAGGCCGCACCCCTTCTGAAGACTGAAGCACTGCGTGATTGCGCTGCCCCCCGATAAGGCCAGATAACCGGCTGTCCGGGGACCACCCCCAATTCTCTCTTTCTCATAAATAGCACGCGCCGCCATCTCGGCCAAAAACCACTGACGTGCACGCGATTTCCTCCGCCCAGGTCCCTCCACCCTCCCGAACCGTATCGCATCGCCAAAAAAAACCTACGGACACTGCACCTTCCGTTTACTGGGCGCGTCGCAAATCGGCCGGATTAACCAATCCACCACCACCGCCTCATCAGGTCGCCGCATTCAAGCATCATCGATCTGCACAGCCGCATAATTACCTGCGCATTTGCAATCATCCCAGGCGCATTCGCGAATCTTCTTCCCGAGGTTGTCGCGACTTTCACGCTAGCCGCATCCCGGTCATTCCTGCCCGAGTTGCATGCGCGATCCAGGATCGCGACGCTCCTTCCCAAGCTTCCATCCTTTGCGACGGTAGCTTCCCCACGATTGCGCCCTCGCCGCACCCTCGCCTTCCTCATCACGAGAACCCGAGACCCTACCTTCCATCCCATTGAGAAGAGTATCTGTCTTCTTCGCTCACCCCCGATCGCGTCGTCAATCAACGACATTCGAACCACCGCCGCCGTCATCATCAGTCCGTCGCATCGCATTCATCCAACTTTGCGCACGCCGCCATTGATGTCGCGTCGCGCACAATAATTCTATCCTCATCGCAAACACCACATGGCAGTCATGGCGTCACCTCAGTCAGAACGCGCCACCTCGGATCAGAAACCAGTCGAGGCCACGCCTACAAAGGAGGAGAGCAAGCCGGAGACCAATGGGTAAGTGATGCTCAGGGCCATTTCTTTGCGCGTCGCACTCGATAGGAGTCTGGCGCGTCATGGCGCAAAGTTGCGTGTACCCAACAATGGAAC